CATTTGATTGGAGAGTCCTGGCTTCCTCTATACTTGCCGGACTCTCTATTCTTGCCGGACTCTCTAGTCTTGCCGGACTCTCTAGTCTTGCCGGACTCTCTAGTCTTGCTGGTCCCTCTAATCTTGCTGGTCTCTCTACTGTAGTCTTGCTGGTCTCTGTAGTCTTGCTGGTCTCTGTAGTCTTGCTGTAGGCTATAAATCATGTCCTGCCCCAGAAACAAGGCGCTTCATACTCCATGGATCTTATGGGCTACCGTGCAAATGATCTGGCCCGGGAACGGCTGCAATACGTTAGAGGACCTAGGCACGCTATTAGTTGTTGTCAGGGTTATACATGAAGTATACAGGATGGATGGAGACAAGATTTACGGGACCCATATAATGCATGAGTTCCCCTTAAACGTGAAGAAGGCTGTCTCTTTTGCTTCCTTACGCTACTGTACGTTTTTGTATCTAGACTCAAGTATAGTTGTTCTTAATGTAATATCGATTGTTCATCTGAGACACTATTTAAATACGTGAGACCCTCACAATTGTTCCCAGAAGTAGTAGCCCAAGCTCCCAGGATACCACCTCTCGTTCCCCGGAGCTATATAGTTCACCCCCGGGAGCTGTAGGCCCTCTGGGAACTATGATTCCTACTCCTGGGAGCAATCAATAGCGTGCCTGTGAACCATGCCATGGATCCTGGGGTTAAACATGATCCTAGGAACGTGAGGGTCTCACAACGTGAAATGTGGGAGCTGTAATCGGTACTCAATATTGAGAAGACAAATTGAAATGCTGACAATAGAAAGAAGAGGGGGTTAACCGGGCAAAGTTATGGTGTAAAGACACCGTTTGAAGAGGAATGATGTTGATGAACGATAAATTGTAAAGGTTATTTGAGAGTTGACTCAACGATGCTTTCCACGACACATTAGTGAATAAACGAAACATTATCGACTAGCCGATGAATGAAGAAAACGGGCAAGTAAACTTGCAGCCGGTGATTAAACTAACTAGTTGGCTGTCTTAGGTATCCAAGGGCAGCATGGTCGACAATAACAAATAAACGAATGCATTCATTTGTTTTCTTGTTAAACACTGTGAAAGAAGTAGGGTGTTTATTGAATATTACTGGCCAGACAACTGTCTCCACTCTAAATCACGCGCATTTCCTAATACCCAGACACACCCCAAGTCTAATGCAAGAATTTATTTCACCCTGCTACTGCAATAATTTATTTCACCCTGCTACCCAAGTAAGACTTTCTCATAGACAAGTCCGTCACATGTCCACTTTTATGCCATATTTCCCAGGCCCTAATCCAAGCCTTCTTCTCGTACTGTATTGGCCAATAACAGTTCTTATAATAATTAATAGAATCCATGTAACGTTACTGAAGCTCAAAGTGTAAAGTTTTTCTCTAAACTTCACGAGAGCTTCCCGTCAATGCATATACGGGCTTATTTATACATATAGAAATCGCCTTGTCTCTACGACAGTGAATTGTACACGCGCGATAAACCGACCACATAGGCTATCAAGATTCCCTTAATTCCTCGGGCCGATAAGTAGCCGTGACTGACTTCTTAACCTACTGCGTATAGAGAACTCGTACGTATGGAGGATTGATCCACTTCGGAACCACAGCTTATCGTGCTTTACGCTCAGTGACTTGAACTATTAAACAAGGAATAAATGGCCATTAACGGTTGCTTCAAGTTGCTGACCGAATAGGTCAAACAAATCATTAAATGTAAAGGTTCTAGTCTGGTGGAAGTACCGCCTTGGTCCTAGTTTCATGTATGTTGTTCCGGTGTATCTTTATCAACAAGCTCCAGATCCTGGTCGGTTACTAGTTTTGGGGCTGGATAGTAGGAGTTCTTGACAGGTCAGTCGACTTTTCATCAGAGACATAGTTGGAGACCTACTAGTTGCGAGCCAAGGAAAGCCCAAAATCCCGAAGTATCCGCTGATAAGATAAATACTTGGCCGGTTTCCCGAAGGCGTATGCCCACACACACATCAGCATCGCACATCTTGCTATATTCGGCCGCTTTTTTCATAAGGCTTGATTTTCGACGGCCTTGTTTTTGGCGCTTGGACTTTCTGACTAATTTGGATCGATTGGACTGGGTGGGAGATGCGGAAGCCATATGAAGAGAGGCGTTAATGTTGGAAAACACTGATAGAAACAGGGCCTAAATAGTCGTAGGTATAGACGAAGTGGCTCTCAGGGATTCTTAAGGCTACAAACAGGTACAAAACGGCCCTCTTCATGTTCATGGGGTTTCGCGTTGAAAAGGAGTGTTGCGCTCTAGAAACCGTGGTCTTTAGAGTTCATGGTCAACGAATACCTGAAACGGCCCCCGGTAGGTGATGAGTTCACAGTAGGTAACGAGTTTGCATTGAAAACCACGACCAGGGACGATCGAGGAATCCGCGCCCCAGAAACTGCGGGTTCCGAGTTTATGGCCAGCAAAACTCCGAAACGGTCACCCTAACAGGTGATGAACGTAAAATGTGCCAACAAATTTATTGCCACGCCCATTTTACCGCCTAGCACAAAAGGGAAGGAGCTTGGTTCTTTCAAAGCAATTAATGGTGTCCGAAGAACGCATCAAGTCTTGGTCTGATTTTGAGGGCAAACCGTCTGCTTTGGAAAATTCGGTCAACTGCACACAGCGTAGCTAGCCTGAGGGTTTGGCCTTTAGAGCCTTTTTTTTATTGTATTTTTATTTTCACAAAATAATACTGTAACTGTAAGCAAGGTACTAGGACAGGAAGGGGACTTGGATTGGAGGCCTTGGGAATATGGCAAGAAAGTGGGCATGCTGGCATGCCCACAGGACATCTTACCGTAGACTTGGGGGGTGTCTGAGTATTAGGAATTTCGCGTGATTTAGAGTGGAGACTGTTGTCTTACCAATAATATTCAATGAACACCCTACTTCTTTCACACTGTTTAACGAGGGAACGAGTGAATGATTCCGTTTATTTATTATTTTCGACTAGCTGTACTCAGATTTCTGAGACAACCAATTAGTTGGTTTAATCACCAGCTGCAACTTTGCTTACCCGCTGACCTCATGTTTTCTCTATTCACCGGCTAGTTGATGATGTTCCATTTTATTCTACTGATCGTTTAGTCAACTCACCAAGTAACCGTTTCATTCTTTCGTTCATCAACATCATTCCTCTTCAAAGGGTGTTTTTACACGATTTTTTTGCCCAGTTAACCACCTCTTCTTTCTGTTGCCCACACTTATTGCCCGCATTTCAATTTGTATTCCTAATATTGATTACCTATTCCGGAGCCCACGTTTTATGTCGCGAGACCCCCACGTTCCTAGGATCATATTCGACCCTAGGCCAAGGCATGGTTCCCAGGAACGCTATTGATTGCTCCCAGGAGTAGGAATCATAGTTCCCAGAGGGCCTACAGCTCCCGGGGGTGAACTGTATAGCTCCGGGGAACGAGAGGTGGTATCCTAGGAGCTTGGGTTACTACCTCTAGGAACAATCTATAGCGTGCCTGGGAGGATGGAACCTGGGACCAGATATTATCTAGCACGGATCCAGACCTCACTGAATTTTATATGTATCAAGAAGGCGAGAACGCCACCGCTGTATGAGGCGCAGGTATATATGTACTTCGTTTTGAGTCTTGTCTAGAAACATGAAGTCCGATTTATGATCTTTGTACGAACATGACCTGTGTAGTTAGAAGAGAAACGTCTCAGGATAGTTTAGCACCCGAGAGGCATCTCTTGATTCAGCATATGTAACGTAGAGAGAATTTTGTGTGTTCCACTATAAGAAGGCGATCCCGACAATACTATCCTAAGAATGATTATAACTTAAAAAGAAGGTTTTAAGAGCCTTGTTTTGAGAGCGAAATCCTGTTGTGACGATCCTCTTGAGAGCAATACGTTCACGTGAGATATCACCGATGAGCACAAGCCTTAGAAGAGGCTATACGTCATATGGTCCCGCTTTTACAAATATATATTTCTTGAAACAAACTCCCAAGTATGAAACATACGCCGTGACTGTAGTTCCATCAAGTATTCCAATCAGAGGAGCTTCACGCTACAATAATCCATATACCATATTAGGCCGTTGTAAAGCCTAGCCTGCGAAATTCGCCTTTTTCCCGCCACTGGTCATTACTTAACGTATTTCCCAAGCGAGCTGGCCACCCTAAAACACCATAATAAATGCGATGAATTACAACATAGTATCACAACAACGGTAGGTTATGGGGATTTTTCCTCAAAAACTAATGCTTTTTAGGTGGTATCAAGTCTCTAAGATGAGTTTGAAGGATTTCTATAACTTAGTAATTGAGATATTTATATTTCTGGCTCCTAGCAACGTAACAATGTAGGTTTCAGATTTCGTCAAAATTAATATATAGTGTTGAAAAGCCTTATCACAGCTATTGGCGATAATAAAATAAAATAAAAATGTGGTTGTTGAGATATCAGTGTAGAATATATCGTATTTACTATTGTGCTTTGGGGTGGCCAGCTCGCTTGGGAAATACGTTACAGACCGGCCGTACATGTATAATAGCCCAGATATACCGAGCCTTTATTATTCCGCCAAAATAATAGCTACTCCAAGGTGGAGAAAGGAGTAGCAGTGAACCAATCACACGCTATATTTTCACCATCACATCCCGCGCATGGCACGAAAGTGCAGGCAACCATATCGTGTTCAGCGTCTATTGGGAGGATCATCGGTTTGTGCGAGCAAGTCGTCAACAAGCCTACTGGTTTGGGATTCACACGACCGTAATCAACAGAGACATGTACATTCGAGAGTTACGGTCGCAGCACCAAGTATGATTCACTCTTGTGCTTTTGGATTGCATGATTCTATGATTTCGGTTGCCCCTTTTGCACATGGTTAGGTTTCGCTCTTAATTATGCTCTCTTTATATGCAGTAAATTCGAGTTGTGTTCTTAACCACCATTTAGATCTTTATCGACACTAACACGACCCCAAATTACTCGTCCAGCCACTGTATAACCTGCTTCAGCAATTTCATACCATCAGTTGGCTGGTCGAGTTTCTGCACCTCTACCTTCAATTGCTCGGCAGTGGAGTTCCCATTGTACTCCTTATCGTCTTCAATAAACATTTTTTGGGCCAGTTTATTCGAAATTTCGGGATGAGCTTGGAAGGAGAGAACTGTGTTTGCTTCGTTGACGAAGCACTCGTGGTTCGAGGCAAGGTGGACGAAGCCCGGTGCAGGCTTGGCGACTTCGCGGACATGGAATTCGGGTGCTCTCTACAACTGATTCAGTGAAATGGCCATGGTATCAGACGAATAAGGTAGACATACGTACGAACCGGTGCTGGCGGCGAATGTAAAGAATTTTTTGCCCGCATCCGTGAGAGCGATATCTTGGATAGCAGCCTGCACAATATCGGTTAGGGATATCCTAGAACAGTTAAAGTGTACTAGAGAAAAACCCACGATTGGCCCTGTCGGAACAGCTCCAACCTCCCCACCGAGAGCCCTTGCCACAGCTTGATGCCCCCAACAGACACCAAGAATCTTCGTCTTGGGGGTATTACGCACAGCAGTGCGGAAATCAAGCACTCCGAGCACCCAGGGGTCAGATGAAGATGCGTCCGCTTTGTCACCGCTTACCGCTTAGAGCAATCAAGTCATATTTTGACGAATCCGAGAAGACTCTCTCGAAGACTGGGTCGTAGAAGTCGACCTCGGCGGAGGGGGCAACATTGGCGAAGGATTCTTGCCAGGCCTGCCGGACGTCTGTCCAGAAGTCAAAGTTGTCTGATGGACTGGGATCCCATGACCTATTTTTCATTGTTGATAAGAAAGCTTTACATGGTTTTCATGCATTATGTATATATATACCCCAACCAACTAATCACCCTCCGCCTCCATCCAAACCACCCTTCTAAAAAGTTGTTCCAACCTTCCAACCAACTTTAACACCTCTCGCCAACCCAAAGAACAAACAAGCACAGCCATACACCAACCCGCAAAACACAATAAGCCCCGAATAGTCCTCCTTCTTCCTGGGATCGCTCTGCGCTTTCATTATCTCCCCGGCAATAGGTATAGCAAACAGCGCACCAACACTAACTAAAGAATACGTAGTTCCATACCGCTTCCCAAAATCCTCCGTCGTCGAGATCTGCGCCACACAAACAGGGCTAAGACTAATCGCCGAGCCACTCCAGAACCCGAATAGAACGGCATATGCCACGATAGCGGCTGTATTAAATCTAGCAGACAGCCACAATGCAAGGGTGAAGATGGTACACCCGAAGGTTGTGATGATCATGACGTTAAACCGTCCGTACCGGTCTGCGAAATAGCCAGGGACGATGCGGCCCAGGATCGAGGCTGCGTTGAGGATTGAGACAACTTGGTACGCGAGATCCTCTTGCATGTTGTGTGATTGAGCGTAGGATGTTAGGTAGGTTAGGGGTATCAGGAGGGCAAAGTCGATGAGGAAGATAGCGACTGTGAGTAGGGCGAATGGGGCTTCACGCAGGGCACGAATGTCAATTTTGGCTCTGCCAAGCCTTTTTGGAGGTAGTCTCGTTCTCAGGAACAGGACACACAGGATGCAGAAGAAGGTGCAAGTGAATCCCATTATTCTGATGGCCCAGGGAAATCCCACGGCTTCGGTGAGGTTCCAGATAAGAATGGGGAAAATGATGCCTCCGAATCCGCCTGCTGTGGCTGCGATTCCGGTCGCTAGGGCTAGGCGGCGATGGAACCAGTGTGCCAAGCAGGCTATGCTGGGGGTGAAGACCATTGATGAGGAGATTCCGCCGAGGACGCTGAATCCTAGTATGAACTGATAGTATTCTGAAAGGAATCAGTATTAGCATGAGCGTGGTGTGTAGGCCATGATGGCTTTCCTTATAACGAACCTTTAGCTACGCTAAAAGCCATCAGGGAGCCAATTAGCCCAATACAACCAGGGACAAGAAGTGGTCTGAGACCGTAAGCGTCAAAAACTGGCCCTATCTTGGATCAGCCATAACTATCTAGCCTATAGGCAGGGAATTGTGGCATGCATACCGATTTGGACACTTCCAAAATAAAGAAAGAATGAGTAGACCCCGAATATCCAACCGATAGATGCTTTAGAATAGTTCTTCAGCTGATCATTTGCCAACCAGGCTTCCAGGACACCCATTGTATTTAAAAGTCCAAATGAAGGCACCATTGCACACCATGAGCCCAGCACCACGCTCCATGCTCGCCATCCGCCTTCTGGAAAGTCTGAGGCTTGTTCCACTTGTCTTTGGTCCACAAATGCACTAGGCCTCTTCTCATCGATGCTATTCGAGGGTATTGGCAGGGGACCCGGTGGTGAATCGCTGTGATTCATCTTTTTTTGCCCCTTCTTTTTTCCCCTGCTACTTCCCTTCTCTGGTTTTGTTCACAAATGGATCAGAAGGAGACACAAACTTTTAAACCACTTTAAATACCTTTCCCCCACATCCCTTCACATGGTATCAAATAGAAAGCTTCATTACGCGCTAATCCCTTTCTGGACGCCGAAGCCACTGCTGGAGTCCGCGGAGCCCGAAGAGTCATGTGTTACCTAATCCGCATTAGGTTACTCTATAAACAACCCCTGCTTCGCCGTATCGTTGTACAGAATGTATTAGACTTTCGTGTCTAATGAGTCACTGCAAATTACCGAATACCCCCATGGAATGTTCTAGGGAGAACTGGCGATCTGGCTTGATACAAGCCCATTCCTTTTCCTCCACACCCTCCGTCTTCATCAACTTCTTTCATGACGAAGGCTGTGCTACTGCTGTAGAGGACTAACCCTGTTGGCTAACTTTGTTCTTTTTTATACTTCCTAGCGAACTGCACCCGCTCGCAGGGCTGCCTCGCCTCGTGGAACTCACAGGAATAGCCCGAAATGAGGCTGCTGTTCAGCTTCTAGTAGAGTTGGCTCAGCAATCACAGTGGCCACTACGTTTGATCTCCAAGTGAATGTCTTGGTTTACAGACTAGTGGCATTACAGATTTGTCCTAGTTGCTTCATTCGACTCTCAGTTCCACTGTCCGGTCAAGCCAACGCTAGACTTCTTGATCGTACCATACGGAGTTTGAATCACATTGTTCTGTGGAATGTTTTGCAACGCTGTAATAACTGGAAACTCGTTTCCGGTAGGCCGAGCTCACGTTCGCAGTCACGATTCCGTCCCAGTTATCGGTCCCAGTTACAGGATTTCCGTTTCAAAAATCCCCTTCCTCCCGAAAATCGAAAACTGGACCAGACAAGCTCCGGCTCTAGTGGCAATTGTCGCTCTAAGGTTGTCTCGTGTTAGTTACTTATATCTTGTCTCTTTGTGAGATGCTCCCCATTTACTCACACCTAATTCTGCAGGACATTCACCCTGGCGCCTTTGCCCATCGGCTGTACATCCCCAAACGCAATTGCATCCAAATGTATTGCAAAAGTTCCCCGCAGTGGCCTTCGATTCGGTGGTGGTCTGTACCCCTCCAGCAGCTGCTTTCTTTTCAGCAGTGTGCTAATTAATCTCCAAACTTTGAAGCAGTCACAGTGATGCGATCATGGTCAGAATGACACGTAATGGCTTGGACATTCTGCATCTGAGGGCCTTCTTCTGAAACATATATATTCCTGCCTAGCCATCCTTTAACCTCAGGCCTGCTTTGCTTCAGCGTAATACTACGTTACTGATCTTTCCTTACATTGCCTCCCTTGACAAGAATTACTCAACATCATGTCTGAGTGCCCCTTCTATCTGCATACTTCCAGTGGCCAAGCTATTGAATAGCACGAAGTGTAAAACAGGAAGTTGTCGTTCACATTCCGTTAAGATAACTAACCAAATTAACCTATCCGACTATGTTTTTCCCCTAGTGCCGATATCGCCCGACGCCACAAATTTGCCCGTTCGTCGAGACAATTTTGCATAATGTAGACCACATGCGTTACAAAGAGTTCGGGAGCCGTCCGGACCACGACGCCATTCTGGTGTTTCAGAGCGGTTGCAGCTATGACAACGAAGAGCACTATCCTTCAGTTGAGTTAATAAAATGCTATTTGTTAAGACCAAGAAAGGCTTCATCTGACTTACCTCGTGCCATTCTCTTTTTTTTTTAGAGACTTTATGGGTCTTGCTCTGTTTAGTGACTGATGGGCAAAGACCTCGGTCAGCCTCATCCGCCATACATGTGGCTACCCGAGTATTCTGCTGCGCTAAGGCTTGGTTTTGGTTGAAGCGCATAAGTTCATCCCTAATATGAATCAAGGCATCCTGCTTTTGCTGCTCCAGACTGAGGAGGCCATTTATCTCGGTGATGGATGGTCCAGGGAGGGATTTTTGATGGTTGTTTGACTGACTCATTGCAGAGTGATACCGCACTAACGCCAAGGCGCGTGCGCTGACTGTCTCGATCTGTTCACGATTAGCATCTATAAGCCTGAGCTATCAACCAGTTTTGGAGAGGGACCCGCTGGCTGTTGAAGGGGCCGACCAGGATAATAGTTCCTTACCAGCTTAAAAGACAGAGTGAAATCAAGAGAGCTTGGTGTTTGCTTTCCCGGCTGACATAACTGCTCTGGTTGAGGCGGTATCGCGTTTGGTATTTTCCTGATGGGAATTTCATGGAACATATTTGGAGGTTCGGCAAAGGAAGGCTGTGCTAAATCTATGGGATCGCATGACAATGAACCCGGTTGAGGTATAGATAGCTCCGTGTGCTTTGGAAGGCGACATCCTTCGTTACGCGAACGACCGTTCGGAGGGAAGGATGGATTTTCCGGGCGTATGACCACAGGATGCTGGAGCTCATTGATGGGTGAGATAATGCCCAAAGATCCCTCCACTGTTGGAATTTTGAATAATAGTCCTTGCTCATTTGACGGAGCCCCTTCGTTTGAATGGTCAATTTCATACACAGCCGGCAAAGGCGGTGGAGCGGCATGCCTGGTGTGATAAGGCAGTGCACATGATGGTCCTGGCGGAATCGCCAGAGAAGTCTCTCCAAATATTTCTTGGATAGATGGCAGCCATTGCCTCGGCATTTGTCCCTGACTCTCATGGTTGACATAATTCAAGTGCTTTTTGGGAAGAAACATAGCTTGGGGTTGGACTACAAGGTCCAGATTGAAAAGTTAACGTGTCTTTGACGTATATAATATCGCTATTCGGCAGTGTTGAAGACGAAAGCGGATTCGAGAGTGAAAATAGATTTACTGCATGAGTGACGTTAACAGCTGGGCTGTGATAAAAGAAGAAAAGACACCAATATTTGGTAGGAAGCTGCCGATTAGGTGGCGTGAGATCCAGTTTGCCAAGCAATTGGCGGACGGGTGATCCCACACCAAGCCAAAAAAAGATCTGCTATCGGAATTGGGCGCATCTTATTGGCCAGATCGCCAAGTCAATGTTTTTGAACACGGCAAGATCGTCGATGTAATTTCCGGCATTTCAAATACTCCCAATGGTAAAGGATCCGATTGGCAGGAGCCCCCCTTACCTCCCGACGAACTTGCACTACCTACCAGCTACCAGTACCGTGGGTAGGCGGGATGATAATTCATTTGTCCTGGCCCATCGCTGAGCTAGTGAAAAGCCCAAAGGAACTTCATCCAGCTAACGGAATAACATATAGGGGGCTCCTGTTACGCACTCCAAACTGGTCACAGTTAGGTTAGAAGGGTTCCGGGTATCTGATCGTGAATGGGTTCCTCCCACCTGAATACCTGGGGATGCCAGAGTATTAGATGCTGCACGTGATCTGCTGACAGATATATTGATTGGCTCTCGGTGGCCCATCTGTGTACCCTGATGGGCACCATCGATTGGTGACGGGTAGTTCCGTAACAGCTCCTAACAAAGAGAAGTCGGCCAAAATAATTCGCATACTAGAAACAACGCATGATGTGTATCGGAGGAAATGCATATGATACCCCGCTCTTAAATATACTTACAGGTATATAACCCCCGAAGCTAACTTCTTAGGTCTAGTTCAAACGTAGAACATAGAAAAAAGGCCATGAGATTTAAACTACTGAGTCTGGAAAGGCCGATCAGTCTGAGAGGACGGAGAAGATGACCTGTCTAAATGTTCTCGGCGCGGTTCCTGGTGCAACTACGGTATTACGGCCATGACTCCATGAGCCCATGTTGTTTGTGCCATGATATACATCCTCAGTTTACTTATCTGATACTCCTGACTATCTCAGCAAGTGTCTCTATGTAAAACAATCCGCCATCTAATATAAGTCACGTGTGCAGACGATACAAATGATAAGGTGGCCGCATGGCCATGGAAAGATAATGTGTGATGGGTTCACCACTACACCTTTCTCCCCCTTGGAGTAGCTCCATTATCTTGGTGGAATAAATAAAAAGCCTGTATGACTGGGCTGGTCTGTGTTTCCAACGGTATGTGAAAACGTGGAGGGAATGAACACCATGCCAAAGTAATATATTGGAGAAATGACAAAACGAAACATCGGTTGAGTGACATTCCAGACCAATCACATATCTGCAAGGATAAAAGACATTTGCCCAAGGCATAGGTAAAGGTCTCGTGAAGGACGAGAGAAAATTTCTCCGTACGGAGCTTCAACGGCACTTTATGACTTCCACTCATTATCATGGTGAACTTTAAGATCCACAGTAACAGCATGACGATACCGACTCCGCATAAACATAGTTGTATTACTAAGCTTGGAGGCAACCTGCGCTGTTGACAGTTTGCCATGATGCTTCTTCAGCCTCAGCTGAGCCAGGGGGACCACTGTTGGCGGAAAGATCACTCCACCACTGGTGCCGCTACATACTTATACTGCTGTGGCTGCTGGTCTTATGGGTTTCGTCCAGAACGATATCTGGGGACCGAGTAGAGACTAGCATGTTGAGAGCATATACTTCTAGAGAGGTACAAGAATAAATCGAACAGGGCACACTGGGAATAGCGAGGTGCTCTACCGATGTAACCGTGGCTTATAGACGGCGGTTCTCAGCCAGACAGTCACGCTGTTCAGTAAGGATTGATTTCATTGGACCATCAGCTTGCTGTAGCAGCAGGTCTCTGCAGTGGCTTTTATTGGATGTCAGTATAGCAGCGCTTTGGGGACGCTAGACAGTGAGCCAACAGTGAGCTAGCCTGGAGGGTCACCATAAAGGCCAGATTGGCTTATTGAATAGACTTAGGATAGAGAAGTAAGAATAAAAAGAAATCGAGAGGAAGTAAATAAACTTAGGTTATTAACGCGATAGGATTAAAATTAAAACCTATGAAAATAGCAAGTACGGTTAAAGATAGGATTAAAATAAATCCATACTCACCGCTGGGTCGCCACCTCCGTTGCCCCAACATTCCCTACTCCCCACTCACCCTTTTACTCCACTCCACATCTGCCTTCATAACAAACTATTGATACGAAATGGCTGCCTCCCACTCCGGACCCAAAGACGTGTCAAAAGACGGCTCGACACGACGGCTGTCAACCGCCTGCAAAGAATGTCAGCGTCGGCGGACAAATGTAAGAAATAATAAATAGGTCGCATCACTTAGCTGATTACTTTTTGTGTCTCCGACAATAGTGCAGTGTTAGGAATCCTTACTTGGAATTCACGAAACGTGGCTCGATTTGCATATTTGATGAGAGTTCCGAAAAGCGACGCAAGAGCTACGAAAGTAAGATGGCAGAAGAACTGAGTTACTATCAGGGGTTTTTATACGACTTTCTTAGGGCAATACGGGATTCTAATGACGATGACGTCGTTCAGATCATCAATTTTGTGCGGTCGGGATCATCAAGCAGTGAGATACAGTCCGAGGTGAATAACATCCTTAAGGGGAATAACCTTTCTTGAGCTAGACCATGAATATGGAAATAATGCTAGACAAGAAATGATTGATCTAATGATCCGTTTCTTCACTAGACCTCCACCGCCAGCAAAATACAACGATATAGAGGAATTTCTACTATATCGATATAAAGATGCTACTATACCGTAAGTTATTTTTCCTATTACATCATTTCCTATATTCGTTGCCTAACCCTATATAGCTACGTTCTAGGCTATACGAAATTCGCCCTTAACTCCTACGTCGACTTAGATAGCCCTTATCTCTCCCGGTACTTACGCTTACTAAAGGATCACGTATCCGTGGCTAATAATCTTAGCTTATAGGAGAAAGAGAAACGGGCCTACGATACCGGTAAGGTTCTCTACCTTATTAATATAGTGGATATTATAAAATATCTATTTTATCTTCTAACGGACTAGGTAGCTATAGTAATAATAGAGGCTCTTTAGCTATAGATTAAGGTTAATATTAACGCGGAGATTTAGCGGATAATAGACGGGGATATACTAACCGCGGAGGAATAGCGGTTTATTAATACTACTCTTTATATTATAAGTGGTAATATCTTTATATCGACTATTATATCTTACTATAGTAGGGAGATATCTAGATTAGCCTAACCTAGATACCTACTATAGTTCCTCTATTAGTTTCGGGGTTTAAATTACTAAATATATATTTTTACCTATTAAAAGCGTATAGCGTAATTTATTATAGTCCGCCGGTAATAAAGTGACG